ATTTTACAGTAACTTTTTCATTAGTGTTCCTTGGTCAGCTTAAGACCAAATTGCCTACAACCCATAAGTCATTTGCCACAATAAAAACTTTATCTCATTCATTATTAAGTATTTATTGAGCCCTTACTAACATACCAAGTGTCATGATGAAAACATAATAAAGTGACATGCAAGACATACAGCCCCAGCCCTCATGGAGCCTAGGGTCTTGCAGAGGAGAGATATGGTAAACTAATTATTAAATGAATAATTTATTTTAAATTACAGGATACAGTAAGTATATAACAACGGTCCTAACTAAATCTAGTGTGGGGCAGTTGCCCAGGCCAGGAAAAGCTTGTGTTGATTCCAAAACCCAGGCTATTGGTCATACACAAATAGTTAGTCATTAGTCTTTTAAGAGTTTTTAGAGTAAATTTTCTTCATCATTCAACCTGAGGTTATGCATGTGGATGGTAACTGATTAACTGGAAGAAATTGTGTTTTGTTAGCTTTGTGAGGACAGCACCCACCCTTAGTTGCTTACAGTCTGTTAAGAGACTGTCTACTCAGTATTTCTGCCTTCAGAGCACTATAGTGGCCACCTTTCCTGCCATTTTGCCATATTTTGTGTGACTGTTTACCTATGATTATTGTAGTTTACCCAGTAAGTAATAGAAATCTGTTTATTTGGAGTAATCTCTAAGAAAATAAGAATCTATTTTGAATTGATATTTTCCTTTTTTATCTTTTGTTTTGATTGTTGGATTGGGATAAAAGATTGCATAGCATTTTTGAAATAAAATGCAGAAACTACAGCAAAAAATGAGATGCAGTTTATAACAGATAGAATGGAAATTTAAAAATATTTTTTGAATAGATGAGGGAAATAAAGCATTGTTTCTCTATTGGCTGAGGAGATAAAACTAACATTTTTTGCTTTTATTTCCTCCTCCCAAATACTTTTTTAAAAGAAAAGAAAATTGACTAGATAATCAAATCAGATTTACATGATCCATAGTGGAATGGAGGAGACTTTTAATAAGAAAAAAGAAGAAACCAGATGAAGATAGCAGTCCTGAGTTGTGCCCTGGAATTTATCTTAATACTTAGAAACTGGAGCAGCACCACTGTCTCAGCAGTGACAGTGACAATAAATCTTTTTTAAATCATTAAGCCTTTAAGAATCTCATGCAAGCTATAAACCTCCCCATGAACATGTTCATATGGATGTTGCTTTTGCCAACCAAAATCTATTCTAGGATATCAAGGTGTTAATCATAGATTAAAGTTAAAAACATTTTAGAGTTGATACTATTTCAGAGTTCACACCATGGACTATGGGCAATTTTAGATAGATTAAGGACTTAATTTTTTTTAAATTAAAACTCATGGAAGAAGTAGGCTAGTATCTTTTATACCTTGGAGAAAGGACAGGTTTCTTAAAATATAAAAAGCAGTGGCTATAAAAGAAAAAATAGCTTCGACTATATTAAAATTGAGAACTTTGGCAAGTGGGGCAATAAATCTTAAAGAAAGTGAAAATCAAATTATAGAATGGGAGTTCACAGTAAACATAACTGAGAAATGATTGCTATCAAGAATAGACAAAGAGAATTCCTACAAGTGAGCGAGAAAAGAAGAAATAGCCCTGTAGAAAACAAACAACATGAACAAGCATCTCACAGAAGAGGAAAACACACACAGTAAACGTGAACAGGATCTCAGCATCATTAGTGACCAGAGACCCATTTGGCAAGAATTAAGACATCTGCTAATGCCAGCTGTTGAGGAGGACGTGGCTTCACGGGGTCTCATAATCATTGCTTGTAGAATGGGTACAATACTTTGGAAAAGGGATCTGGTCTTATCTTCTGAAAGTAAATATACCTGTAACCTAGCACTTCAACTCCTTTGTATCTACCCAAGAGAAATCATGCACTCCTATACCAGGAAATGTAAAATAAGTTGATTGTAGCACTGTTCACAGGAGCAAAAACCTGGGAACAGTCTAAGTGTTCACCAGTAGGGGAGTGGATGAAAAAAACTATAGTTTTCATATGATACAAATACATTGTATAGTCGTCATAGTGAATGAACAACATCGCCACCCAATTATATAGATGAATCTTAGCTGTCTAGTCTAGTAAGTCCAACAAGTAAGACCCAAAAGATTACATACACATAGCATTATAAGCTTTTTCCAGAAAGTTTTTTTGGAATATATCAGATGAACCAAAAGGATATAAAAAGGAAAGCAAGAAAATGATGGATGGGTGATTCCAGAGACTGGTTATAGGGGCGGGGGCTAGAATTGAAGGGGAATGACCACATGATTAGATGTAGATTATTGTGAGGGTGCTATCTTTTATTGGGGACAATAGGTTTCAGAGTGCTTATTACTTCATTAAAAATAACTAATTAGATAACCAGCTTTTTAAACATTTTGTAGATTTATTTTATTTTATTTTATTTATTTTATTTTATTTATTTTATTTTATATTTTATTTTATTTATTTTATTTTATTTTATTTTATTTTATTTATTTTTTTATTTATTATTTTAGAGAGAGAGAGACAGCAAGTGCCTAAGAGCAGGGAGAGGGGCAGAGGGAGGGAGAGAATCTCAAGCAAACTCCCCACTCAGGGCAGAGCCTGACACAGGACTTGATCTCATGATCCTGAGATCAACTGAGCAGAAATCAAGTCAGATGCTAACTGACTGAGCACCCAGGCTTCCCTAGATAACATTTTTAAAAGAGAACCACGTGTGTACCAGTGATGAGTATTTTGAACCAAGGTTAATTCTATTTTGTGCGCCTAAATTCCAGTTGAAAATTTTTTTTTTTCAGAGTTCATTGAACACGTTACTCAGCATCAGGAGTTACCCTAGAGATTGCCTGGACATATAGAGGCAAATAAGATGGATTCCCTATCTTGTAGGCTAACAGTAGAAATGAACACTGGCAATAAGTGGGTGAAGCCATGTACTATACTTCATGGTGCAAAGAAGGGGGAGCAGTTAATTCTACATGTCTGGACCTTGCCTCCACACCCTCTCACTCTGCTCTCCCCACCCTCCCCTGCCAGCCCTCCTCTCAGCATATCGATAGAATATTTAGACCTCTGTTGGATTGCTTGTTTCATTCATACTACAGAGTTCATTCTTTATAACGTGTCCATCTCATATGTTCAACCTCAAACTCTTTGAATCCAAGGACTTTTTATCATTCTCAGATGCCCCCCAAAATATCTTGAATAATACTCATGTTTATTATTTCATTAAAGATTTGAGTCCCTGCTGTGATGCGGGCACTTGCATGTACACAATATATCCTTGAAAAATGAGCTAATGAATACAAGAGTGGAATATAGAAATTAATAGACATTTACTGAATTCCTTTACATGATTTGTGCTAGGACTTGTGATGCTCATAAGACACTTAAGATAGTCTGTTCAGTCTTATTGTGAAGATGACTTAATCAGAAGACAGAAAACAGTATCATTGGGGATTTAGTGTGAATAACCAAAGAAGTGACTGTGTAAAAATGTGGAACATTATATATAGAGAAAAGGAGAACTACTATAAAAATAGGTCTTTTCTTGACTTGCAAATTGTGTCTTCAACCAAAATTTAAAGCTATTTTGTCTCTGACTTTTCAATTTACATAGGTGGGCAAGTTTCCTTTTTTTTTTTTTTTTTTAAAGAGAGAGAAGTGGGGAAGGGACAGAGGGCGAGGGAGAGAGAGAATCTTAAGCAGGCTCCATGCCCAGCACATTGGGCTCAATCTCACAACCCTGAGGTCATGATCTGAGCTGAAATCAAGAGTTAGACTTTTAAAAGACTGAGCCACCCAGGCACCCTAAGCTGCGAAATTTAAAAAGGAAAACTATGGAACTAAGTGATACCAAGTGTTTTTTTCACAGGCGGTAACAATTTCTGATACTAGCAAGTGTATCACTTGATTACAGTTCAAATATAATAGGCTTACTATTAAATATCCTTAGCTTTGTGATTGTACTTTGTAGCTGAAAAGTATTCTACATAAACACCACTTTGCAGATAAGGAAACGGGTCCATAGAGTGGAACAGCTTTATTTATGCACAGAAAGTGATAGGATTAGAACCAAGTCTCCCGCTTCTGGTTTAGTTTTTCTCATGTTATGGGATGTTGCCCTATGGAACCTAGATGCTTCAAAGTTGCTTTTCATGCATTTCAGTGCCTTGAAAGCTTTTTTTTGTCCTTTGAATTTTAAGAAAATGGTCTGAAATAGAAAAAATACTGACCTTTTCAGAAATCTGGAGATCTGAATACAACTTCAAAATTCAGCTCTAATAACTAAGATTAGCTCAACGTTTTACAGGTCGTTTCCCCTCTTTGAGACTTTTAATGTCTGCCAATTTTAACGCCCTCTTAGCTAAAGCCGAGCTACATTCCCTAGGATCTGCTATATGGGCTATCAGTGCACCTGGTTTGATTAACCAATCATTAAATAAGCCTGGACTTCCTACATAAAATTACCTGGTTCCTTTGTGGTCCCACATGTTCAATGCTTACCAGTTTTTCTTCTGCATAGTAAACTCCTTGAGGGCACTGACCGTGTCTATTTACTGCAGGATTCTTAATACCAAATTGTTGAATGAGTGAACATCTCTTTTAAATAACTACTGTTGCTTTAGGATTTCTCTGTTTGCATGTTTTTTTAGTAAAGGAAGATAATAGTATTTGAAAACTGTTAATTTGAGTAATTGGTACCTTTGCTATTTATATGAGTTGTCTTCACTTGATTATAAAGGATTTTTTTAAATCATTTAGTATGAACACCTTCCTTTCTCAGTTTCTCATTTGTGTTTATTATCAATAACACATTAGTAGAGATTCTGCATAATACTATGACCTCCTTAAGTCCTCGCACATTATAATAAAATCTCATTCTTTAGGGTAAGATAGAAACAGATTCCGTTTGTAAATTTAACTTACAATGGGTTATTATAATAATCATGTCCTTTATTTCTATAGTTATAATCGCTGGTTATGTCAAGCAAGATCTGAGGATCTATCTGATATTGCTTCTCTAAAAGCCTTATACCAAACAGGTGAGTAACTTTTCTTTTGCTAATTAAGGACCTTCCCTAACACACTGTTAGAAACTTTTTCTCTGATTTTGTATGTTTTATCTTAAAAAAAAAATTGTTTTTATACTAATGGGGATAGTTTTGCTCATTATCAAGATCATAAAAATAATATCTCAACCTAGACATTTTCATCTTGCAATTCTACATTGGCTAACTTTATTTCTTCTTTATGTCCTTTTTCTTACCTTTTAACATTTTTTCTACTTTTAAAAATACCATCCACCTGCTATTCAAAATTCATACCTTATATAAATATATGATAGAAATATATATAAATATATATAAATATATGATAGAAAGTTCTCAGATTTCCACTCTTTTTCCATTAGATTTCTTTTTCAGCTAGTACTTGTTAATTTCCAATTAGTTTTTCCTGGATCACTAATGTTATTAAAAGTTGTAGTGAACTTAAACAAGAAACTATTTATAAAAAGGTCTTTCCCTGCAGCCTTACCTTTGGCTGTCCCTTATTTAAAACCTGTAAGAAGCCTTATCTTAAAAGTAAGGCAAGTCATCAAACCTCATGAAGTTTAAAAAAAAAAAAAAAGTATTGTTTTCCACAGTGAAAGATAATCTAAAGATGAAAATTTTTTTAAAAAGTAAGTCCTGATTTTCAGTCTTTTATATCTGTGTAGAATATTTTTATGATATTAGAGTCCAATCTTGGAATGAAGTCCCTGGGTACTGATCACATTTCCTGTTCACAGGTGTTGATAACTGTGGTCGTACAGTGATGGTGGTAGTTGGAAGAAACATTCCTGTCACGTTAATAGACATGGACAAGGTAAGCCATAAAAAGGCTCTGTTTTACACATAATGTTGATTTTTACAGTTAGTAGGATATGAATTTGGAATCAGGACTTAGAAGATGGGGCATAATTGTGTGAACCTGGGCCGAGGAGCGGCCCTGGGTCTGTATTTTGGCACATACCACTTCAGTAAGTTAGGGGTTTGGTTTTATTCTGTAGGAGAAACAAAAATTCTGGAATGCCATAATGTGATCTCCAAAAATGCAGCTGCTCTGTTTCGGGTATGACGCAAGTCGCAAGTTTTGGGTTGGAATCACTCTGGATTATAATTGTACTAACAATCAAATACTGCTTTTCTTGAAAAAAGAAAAATTAACTCTTGAGTCTCTATCTGAAGAGAAGTCAGAGATGTAGTATAGCATAAATCCATGATTCCTTCATCTGGAGGCAAAGGACAGAAATAGCTGATTCATAAAAAAAAATGGTATTAATGGCAAATAAAAATAAGAAAATAATTCTGCTTTTAAAAATGATTAGTGGGCAGCGCGGGTGGCTCAGCAGTTTAGTGCTGCCTTCGACCCAGGGCATGATCCTGGGGACCCGGGATCGAGTCCCTCGTCGGGTCCCTCCGTGGGTCCTGCTTCTCTCTCTGCCTGTGTCTCTGCCTCTCTCTCTGTGTGTCTGTCATGAATAAATAAATAAAATCTAAAAATAAAAATTTTTAAAAATTAAAATGATTAATAATCCAAAAAAAACAAAAACAAAAATGAATCAGGATGAGATACCTTTTTTCACCTTCAAAACTTAGCCAGAACTTTTAAATAATAATCATTGTCATCAAAGATGAAATAAAATGATAAAAGTGGTCACATCTGTTCACCCAGGAATTCTATTCCTGAGAATTTGTACTAAGGAAATAATCTGAAGTATGGAAGTAACTACCACCCCTGAAACTGCCCAAGTTGGAATACTCATTGAATCTGCAAAATAAATCTGTAAATCTTAGAACATCAGTTTTATTAGAAACTTACTGTAAGAGAGGAGAAACACTAATAAATCATTCCTAACTATAGTAACAAATTATGTACTTAAAAATGTAAAAATCACATCCATTTTTAAGATAAAACAGAGTTGTAATTGCTTCTGGCTAAGCATTTAGGCTCCTGGTCCTGGTGTTTGGGTACAATATAGAGGCATTGGAGTTGGCATGTTACAACAGGCTCATTTGTAGCACAGAATTGTAACTTAAATTCCCAATATGTACCTACGATGTACCCACAAGTGGAATGTTATATGACCCTTCAAAATTATGGTTTTAAAGGCAAGTACTGTAGAGAAATATTTATAACATAGTATCAGTAGGAGAAAAAGTGATACATTAAATTGCCTATACACTGACCTTAACTTTTTTTAAGCATAAAGATAAAAACTCAAAATGTAAATATTTCAAAATGGATTTCATGGTTTTAGGGAGAATTTGTTTTCTACTTTTTTTTTTTTTGTCATGTGGCTATACCTCCTTATAATGAAAAAATCTGAAGTTAAAGATGGGGAACTTAATACTGAAAATGAGTATTTTAATTGCCCTGGGGTAGAGAATGGATAGAAAGAGGACCAGAAACAATCCAGTAGAAGCAGAAATAATAGTAAAAATACACACACAGAGGAAAAACTCAACTGATGTAAATGATACCATTAGTAAATTTCTACTTGTAGTCATTTGTTTTGTGTTATCAACAATCAATATGACATTCATTCTTATCATTATCATAATGTGATTGATACCAATAAAAGCATAAATCTCTGCATTTGATTTTGGTGTGCACTTGCTTGGTGTTCTGGATATTCATGATGTATCATATAACATAATCCTGGTCCGAACCAGCAAACTAGAAAGATAGTGTGTTTTCTTAGTGCCCTCCCCTGTCAGTTCTGATAACAGTTGGATGCTAATCCGTCTCAGTCCACTCATGTTAATGCCAAGGACTCTCCTGAGGAGAATTGGGAAATTGCCTGTTTGATAATAATCTTTCAATTGGTAACTCTTAGCTTCCTCTATGTCGTCATTTATAGCTATACTACTGGGTCACCCTGGCCCTGCCCATATTGTATCTCTGCTTTGTGTTTAATGTTTCTCTTAAATTTCATCCTTCTTGTAATGGAATATTTCTCTACTGTTTCTCTAATGTGACCCAGATCATCATAAATTTTGAGTCTTTCGGAGCGTTAGAAATACTGCCCAGCCCATTACCATCTACTGACTAAACCTGTTCTCATTTTCCTCATTCAGATCAACATTAAAGATGCCAAGAAAAATAGTCCTCAAAGTGAGCCATGAGAGGGAGGCATCACTCATAATATATTTGTGTACTAATTCTTGGTTGCATGAGAGCCATAAGTCTGTATCCCAGTAGCAGCTGCCAAAATTTTCATTGAGTTCAAGCAGAAACCTCAAGAGAGATCAGAAGTCTACAAATTGTACTTGTAATGATATTGATATTGGTATCGTAGAGAGGGAAAACCGGGCAATTGACCAAAGAACTCTTAAGAATATATGAAGAGTTATTTAAGACTGGATGTTCTTCTCCACCACTTACAAGGCCAAAAGGGATCCTATTGTAGCATTTCTGAGAATTACTAAAATAAAAAAAAAAGAGAGAGAGAAAATTACTAAACACTGGCATGGTTCATTTTCTTGAAGCTTTTTTAAAAAGAGAATTGATACTAATTAGTTAGAGATGTCCATCTGCAGTGCCAAGGGCATGGATTAGACTAATCTTCTGGATTTTGCCTTACTCTTGGTTCTGTGAAATAGACCACAGTGCAAGATGATCTTACTTTTACTTCTCTTTTTCCTAGGCTCTCTTATATTTTATCCATGTAATGGATCACATTGCTGTGAAGGAATATGTATTAGTATATTTTCACACACTGACCAGCGAATACAATCACCTGGACTCTGACTTCCTGAAGAAACTCTACGATGTTGTTGATGTCAAGTTAGTTATTTTTGCAAATTATGAAGAGGGGAAATAGCTTCTTTCTTTCCTAACATTAATCAATAAGGAAACATTGCTCATATTCTGTGAAAAGATTTCACAGATAACATAGATTTTTATAAAAAATAGATAAGATGTTTTTATATGGGGAGGCCCTTCTTAACTCTAACATTTTGCATCTAAGTACATTCCTGTGTAAACTTTTCCCTGCTTTTAAACATCTTGAAAAAGTGTTGGGATCATTACCAATCTTTGTATATAAAGTAACAAAAACAATGCTTTCCATTAGTAAGGTGTGTTATATTACTTTTATCAAAATATGTTTATAAATATTATCTCATTTGACCCAGTGACCCATGAGTATGTTAATCTCTTATCCCAGAGATTCTAGTGCAATATATAAAAAATTTCTTAAATATGATTTTACTTTGTTCTACCTGTAGATGGCTCTGTCACGGCTAAGAGTAACAATATCTTATATAAAACAGGTACTTTAAATAATGAAATGTTCTCTGAATCATTTTTTGACATTTTACCTAAAATTCAATAAGTAGAGTTATTTTTAATTTTTTCCTATATTTCTGTATTTTAGCAAAGAGTTCATTATCCATAACATGACATACTGACCCTTGTTTTTATTTCAAATCAGATACAAGAGGAATTTGAAGGCTGTTTATTTTGTTCATCCAACATTTCGTTCAAAGGTACAGTGTGTTTCTTTTTGGCTAAATCTTGAATTTCAGTGCACTGCATGCCCGCATATTAAGCTCTGTTTCAAGATCTTGATTCTTACTATCACCCCTGTGACTGCTGATTTCTTTGTTTACCATTCATCTTAAGTGGTACTGAGTTGTGGTCCTAACACTTTGGTCCCATTTTAACTCCAGTGTCATTGTAGGCAATTCATATAAGCCTCTTTGTGCTCTTTGTGCTTTGGGCTTTGCTCATACCCTTGATATAGAATATACTTTCCTTCCTCCACTCATGGCTAACTTCTATTTGCCCTTCAGATCTCTGCTTCAAACAATTGCTTTCCATAAAGAACCTTCCCCAACTAATTCTGCAACTAGTAGGTACTCCTGCATTGTACCCCTGTAATATTTTAGTCTTCTGTTGTTATGTTTTTCATTCTCGTTACTTAATTTTCTACCTTGTGTTAGCCTGCAAGACTTGTGGGAGTTAGAATACAGCTAGCTTGCTCTTTTACTCTCCATAATATCCAGTCTTACATCTTGACTTCATCAAGACATATACTCTTTTAGTCCTTCTGAAAATATCTTTTTTTTTTTTGTCTTTATTTCCTTATCTATCCAGCCTAAAACTCATGTTCTGTCATTTCAGTCATTGCTGTTAATGCCTAAAATAACCTGTGATCTCTTATTCTTTCATCACCCTTGCCCATCAAAACCTGGTCATGAGATATTTCATAACTCTGCTTTCTTCACTCCCGTATCTGGGTTGCTGAGCACAGGTGGAGAAGTCTTAGAGCCATGTGATTTTGGGCTTCTAAGCAGACTTATGGAGCTTTCACTGGTAAGGGGCCTGTGTTATTTCACTGGACTGTGTCCCAGCAGGGCTCTCCACTGTCCTCAAGCCCATTCCTACCAGCAGATCCTCATTCCAGATGTTGATCTGGCCTTGTTCTTAACCAAGAAATTTAAAACATCAGTAAAGAGCTGTCTGTTTTCTCCCCCAGACTTACCTGCCATCTGTTCCTATCATTGCTTCCTTTTCTGTCATAAAATTGGGTTTCTTCTTAATGAAGAGCAGCCCCTCTAGCTGTGATCTGGATCTCATAGTAATAATAGCTAATGTTTTCTAAGCACTTAGTATGTTCCAGCTCTTCCCATGGGTTATCTTGCTTATGTCTTAGATCTACAAAGGAGATAGTAGTATTATGCCCATTTTACAGGCAAAGAAATTGATGTTTGAGAGTTTAAATAACTTTTCCAAGGTAAGCAACTATTAAGTAGCAGAGGCTGGGTTTAAATCTAGACATTTTAATTGTAGAGTCTCCACTCATAACTACACAATATATTTCCATCTCCTCAGGACCTTCTCTTTAGCAATTTTTATCTTTCTCCTCCCATTTTTCTGGATCTAAATCACCCACTTTTAAACATACTAAAGCCTTCACTTCTCTCTCTTCCCCTTAACAACTAAAATTTTTAGTATGATCTACAATCTATGTTCATTGTCTTCCATTTTCTGAATACCTTAAGTTCTGGTCCAAATCCCACTCTGACAACTAAAGCTACTTGCAGCAAAACTACTGATCATCTTTATTCTACCTGTTTTCCTTGCAGCCTTGATCACAGATGGTCCCTTCTTCCTTGAAACACTTTGTCTTGGCTTCCTTGAAACTTACTTTGCCGAGTTTTCTCCCACTTCTAGCTGCTACCTCTCAGTTCCCTGTGCTGTGCCTTCTCTCTGCTCATCCTTTGAGTATTAATGTTCCCAAGCTCTCATCCTTTTCTTTCATTCTTTCATCACCTTCTTTCATTCCTGTGTCTTCAACAACCCTCAAAATTATATGCAGTTCCCAAACACATGTCAGGGGAGGCAGTGAAGCCAATAGGCCCAAGACTCAGGGAATGAGTTAAGAAGCCTAAAATTTATACTTTAGGGCCTTTTGCAAAAGTTGACCAACCTCAGGTCTAGGCAAAACAAATCAAAACAAAAAAAAATGCCAAACCCTGATTATATCAGTGGGATTTGGAGAAAAAGAGGATTTATTTCAGCATAAAGCCCAGGATATAGTTATTTATTAGATGAGTAGGGGTGAGAGAAATGACTGTGTCATCCATGACTCCCAAGTGTCATCAGATAAAGGAGATCATGGATTGGGATATCAATTTGAGAGTCCCCATCAAGTAAATAGAGCTTTCACTCTTTAACTATGTTAATGAATTAAGTTGCAAAGAGGACAACTAAAGAGAGAGCCCTGGGATCAAGGAAGGAGATCAAGGAGAAGTAATCTAAAAATCAGCAGAGGAGCCAAGATTGACTAATGCTCTGGGAGCCAGTGGACAAGAAAAGCATCAAAGACAGTAGAAGCAGTCATTATTTTAAAGCACTGTGGAGAAATTAAGTTAAGTAGTAAAAAGTCTTCATTACACTTCATAATTAAGAGATGAATGAAGGCTTCACTGAAAGAATGGTTTTCACTTTGGGATTTCTCGATTTCTCATTGTTTACAAAATTATTGAATTTCTCATCCAAATACTATCTTTAAAATGTGCATGAAATATTTTAAGTAATTTTTTTAAAAGTTACAAATTTCCTTTTGGTCCCTTAGTAAGTGCTAATTATGCTTATGAGAATACTGTTTGGCCAGGCTTAAAAAAAATGTACAGTGTTGGAACAGTTCGTTAAATGAAGGGCTTTTCCTGTTCTGTTCAGTTCTGATTACATGGTCTTATCAGATACTGTCTATTATCAGCTTTTCCACTATTTTGTTACACTCGGTGGGTAGCTGATTTTTTTCAAGATTTCAGGGTTTAAAATAACTATTTAAAAATCAATTGTATATTTTAGCAACAAACAATCCAAATGAAATTTTAAAAGTAATATTATTTATACTAGCATCAAAATATATTGAATACTTAAGGATAAATATGACCAAAGACGTGGAAGACTTGTGCACTGTACAAGACATTCATGAGAGAAATTAAAGGAGACCTAAGTAAAGGAAGACATATTTTGGACTGGAAGACTTAACATTGTGAAATTCTATGCTTGTTCAATGTGTTGATTCAATGGCAACCAAAATTTCAGCAAGCTTTTTTTGTAGAAATTGACCGATAAAAATCCAAAGAATTTAAATAGTCAGAACTATTTTAAAAGAAAACCAAAGTTGGAAGACCAACACTCCCTGCTTTCAAAGCTTATTCTAAAGCTACAGTACTCAAGACATTGTGAAGTATTGGGATAAAGATAGATATATAGATCAGTGGAGCAGAATAGAAAATCTAGAAATAGTCGCATGTGTATATAGATAATTGGTACTTGAGAAGAGTGCGAAGTCAGAACAGTCTGTTCAATAAATGATACTGGAGCGATTAGATATCCATATGCAAAAAAAAAAAAAAGAACTTTGATCCATGTCTTGCATCACATGGAAACTAACTGGAAATTGATCAAAGACCTAACTTGTAAAATGTAAATCTATTAAACTTCTAAAAAGAAAATATAAGAGAGAAAGCTTTGCTGACTTTGAATAAAACAGAGATTTCTTAGATACAACACCAAAGCACAATACGTAAAAGAAATTAGACCTCATCAAAATTAAAAACTTCTGCCTTTTTAAAGATGGTTAAGAAAGTAAAGTAAAAAGACAAGTCACAGCCAGAGAGAAAATCTTTGTAAATAAAGCATTTATCTGATAAAGGATTTCTCTTTAGAATAAAGAAATCTCAAAAATCACTAAGAAGAATACAACTCAATTTAGAAATGGCAGAAGATTTGTGCAAATATTTCCCCAAAGAAAACATATAATGTCAGATAAGCACATAAAAAGATGTTTAACATAATTAGTCATTAGGAAAGTGCAAATTAAATCGAATGATATACCATTGCACTCCCGTTAGAATGGCTAAAGACTGACCATATCAAATGTTGGTGAGAATGTAGAACTAGTATTCTCATATGCTATAACATTTTATATTTGGATCAGTGATCCGAGTTATAGAAACCTTGGAACACAATTTGGCAGTATATTTATAGAAGTAAAGGTATACCTACCATGTGACCAGCCATTCCAGTCCTAGTATTTATGTGAGACAAATGAAAGTATATCCATACAAAGACTTCTACACAGATGCTTATAGTCCAAAACTGGAAATAGCTGCATACCCATCACTGGAAGAATTAATAACCAAACTATGGTATATCCATACCATAGTTTGGAATACAACTCCGTAGTAAAAAAAGAATGAACTGTTAATACAGTTGCAGCAACACAAATGAATCTCAAAATAATTATGCTGAGTAAAAGAAGCCAGACAAGTATAACACATTGTTTCATTCATATAAAATTCCAGGGCATACAAACTAATGTGTAATTATAGGAAGTAGAGCAGTGATTACCTCTGAGCAGGGAAAAGGGGTGGGAGGGAGGAATTACAAAGGATACTGAGAACCTTTGGTAGTGATGGCTATGTCCTTTTTCTTGATTATGATATGAAACCATTTTCATGGGTGTATGGATATACCAAAACTTAACAAATTGTATACTTCAGTTATGTGCAGTGCATGCGTATTAATTACATCTTAATTAAAAGACACATTTTTTAAAAACTGCAGTGAGAGACCACTACACTTCCATCAGAATAGCCAAAATTTAAAAGACTGGCAATGCCAATGTTGCCAGTGACGTGAAGCAGCTGGAATTCTCCTACATCATAAGTAGGAATTGGAAACTGTGCAAGTACTTTGAAAAGAGTTATGAAAATCTCTTATAAACTAAATATATACCTTGTCTGTGGGCCATCAGTGTCACTGCTAAGTATTTACCCAAATGAAATAAAAACATATGTGCCAAAGAATTCTCTAAGAATGTTCATAGCAGCTTTGGTCATAGCAGCCAAAGACTAGAAACAGCCCAGGTGCCCATCAATAGGATTATGAATAAGTAAGCTCTAGTATATTTTTATGATGGAATGTTTCTTGGCAATGAAAAAAAAACACACTACTGATATACAAAACCACACACAGGAATCTTAAAATTTAAACATTAAGCTGAGGGAAAGAACCCTTACATAAAAATCATGCTGTATGATTCCATTTTTATGAAATTCTAGAGCAGACAAAACTAATCCATGGTAGAAAAAAATCAAAACATTGTTTGCCGCTCTGGAGAGGGCCTTAAGAGAAGAGGAGCATGAGGGAGCTTTCTGGGGTAATGAAAATGTTTTATATCTGAGTAGGAGTTTTATATGTATAGTATGTATTTGCCTAAACAGCAAAAGTACACCAAAAATCTGTATGCTTCATCAAATGTAAATTTTATAGCAAAGAAACTGAATGAACATTGAACTCTAGTTAGAAAGACGAATGTTGTATTTGGGGACAGCTTACTGATAGCTGCAATTTACTTGGAAATAGAGCAAAAAAGGGCCTGGGTGGCTCAGCAGTTTACCAGCTGCCTTCAGCCCAGGGCGTGATCCTGGGGACCCGTAATCAAGTCCTATGTCAGGCTCCCTGCATGGAGCCTGCTTCTCCCTCTACCTTGTCTCTGCCTCTCTCTCTGTCTCTCATGAATAAATACTTAAAAAATATATATATATAGCAAAAAAGTAGAAGGGATCAACAGATGGATAAGTGATGGTAGATATGTGATAAGGAAAACATTAATGATTGTCTTAGATGTGTCTATACTGGTGTTCGTTGTAAAAATTCTTTCAACTTTAGTGAATAGACATTTTTATAACTTTCTTTACTTCTGTTACAAATTCAGATTTATCAGAATAGTGTTTCTTTGTACCAGACTTAGAAAAATACATAGCCACTGTTTGCTAAGATATGACTTTAATTCCTCCTCCACAGTAGAGTCTATAAATAGCTTATCCACCTTGCAACATTGATGTAAGCACATTACCAGAAATTTCAGTGTTAGAGCCACTAGCTTTGGCTGTCACTGGAATTGCTTCAGATAGGAGTCAGTGGCAGGCTGGGCAGAGGCTGAAGAAAAGATGTATAAAGTGAAAAGCGTTATGCTACCTCTTCATAATGTTTTGGGGTGGGGGAAATCAGGGAGGATTGAGAGAATAAAACCCATGTATAATGAAATCCACTGTTCTTTCATACTAAGTCAAAAACTCTAAATGGGATGTTTATAATTATAAAATAACAAGATGAAATCAAAGGATAGTAAAACAATTGAATCACACTGTTCTGATTTCGATACTCCTCAGATCTTTTCCAGGCCACTCCACCCAAAATGGTAATAAATTGACTGCTCATATAAATCAGTATTATTTTTCTTCTTCAAAGTTGACTAATATAAGGCAAACTAACAGAATGTAAACCCACTCTTGATTCTGGCTCCAGTATATTATTTTAGTGCACAGTTGTGTGAACAGTCTTTTCCTAGTTTATATTGTTTTGTGATCCTGTGTTCATGGCTTTGCATTTGTGAATAGTTTGTGAAAAAATTTCCAACACCCACAAAATATCACAGTAGTCTTTTTCAAATTTCAAGTTTTCATCAGTTCATTAAAATAGTAGATACTAAGTAATACAAGTTTATCTACATAAGTGTATATTCATGCCCTACAAATAATTGAGAATTAAAAGTTAAGCTATATAAAACTAAATTTTTTTAAAGTGAAGACAATGCTGAGTGTCAGCATTAAACAGAATATTTCTAACTGGGTTTCGCCGTCTGTCTACTTGAAGTAATTTTCTCTTGCCAATTCCTGGAGGATGTGAAGGAGGTAATGGCAGAAATTGGGATGGAGAAATGTGTTTCTCTTTCACAGATTGTACGCCTGAGGTCACTGACTAGTCTCCCCAACCCAGCCTTCTCATTGAGTTTACCACCGCCACCCCATTTTGTATAGTGTAGCATATTCAGGAGTCCTTTCATAGAACTGTATGTACAATTAAGAGGGACCTTAAAGATCATGTAGGTCTAACTTGCTCATTTTATAGATGAAAAAACTGAGGCGCAGATTGAAGTACAATGTACTTTTGTTGAAGTATGAAGAAATATTAAACCATTCCTAAGCAGTATTAATAATACCCAGTAATAATAATATACCCAGAAAATCTTACTCCTCCACTTGTTAATTCTTCCAGTGCATATGAAGTTCCTTCTTTTGTTGGGCATTAATTACATACTATGAATATAGTATTAAATAAGACATTTCCTGCATTGGGGAGTTTGCAAGTCTATAGAGAATATACATAGATAATATAATACAGAATGCTAATTACACAGTAACATGAGTAAACAAACTGTTGGAACATTTAGAAGCTCCTTTCCAGTTTTGGGTGGAGAGTGGTCAAAGAAGGCCTCTGAACTGGGGTGAATTTTGATCTGAGCTCTGAAGAACAATTGCCAGGCATACAAAAGCAGCAAGGAAAAAGGGTTTTGAGGCAGGAGAACAAAGGCACAAAAGTTTGCTCCTTAGGCCTTCATAGCTCTGTATTTTTCTCCCTTTTTCCAGAGAGCAGAAGCTCCTTGTATGTGTAGGTGTTCACATATTTCTGTGGGCCATTCATTGCATTTAGTACATTTTGTCTTAGTTGGTTGTTATTCTTATGCTAATAATCTAGCTCCTCTACTACAGTCCAAGCCCCCTTTAAAGGAATGGCTCTATTCTTGTTATCCTGTAAGATCTACAACTCAGTGCTTAGTACATAGATGACCAGTAGATGTTTAACTCCTTGCACAAATGCTTAATCTCTTAACACAGCCTTCAGATGCTTCTCTGTTGAGACTCTACAATCTTTTTTATTTTCTTAAGCTCTTTCTGGAATCTATAAGATGTCTATGACCTCTTCATAGCTCTTACTGGTTATTAACTACCTCTGTGGCTGGTTGTAGAGCTCCTAATCTGGAAGTTTTCACTAATCTAGTTTGCAGAAGTTTCTGTTAATTAGGTATGTAACAGCCTGTGCTTTAAAGAAGCTGATGTCAAAAACTGATTTGGGGTATGTAAGTAAGCGACTGTTTAATTTTACATAAGTTAACTTAACCTGGCTGTAGCAGTGCCAAGTGCCTCTTCTCCCCTCCATCACCCCTCTCCAAATAAACTTGGTAAAATGGGAGGGGATACGTTGCAGAGGGAAATGTTAATAATTGAGGCCTTGTGCCAATCATTGGTAGTGTAGCCAAAATAGAATAGTGATTCAGGCTATAAAAATCATTGTAAAATAAGTCCTATCTTTAGTTACTCATTCTTTATCAAATACTTTGAGAATGATGGTTCTGTCTGTATCTCATAAAACTTTAGACTATTACTCTATGATTGTCTGCCAAGTCCTAGGGAGATTATGGAAATGGACATAAGAAACTGAAATACTGAGAAATAGAAATCAGTGTTCAAAATGCAATGTAAATTTCAGGTGTTATAAACTCAATAGAAGAGAGAATCTAGAGCTGTAAGGGAGAAATGATAATGGAAGTGAGTCTCTACCAAGTGCAGATTTGGGATAGGATACTGATAAGTTAGTGCAGTGTTGTCTCTATACTTTCATGCCTTTTCTATAAGGAGGCACGAAGGAAATATGTCATATTAGGGGTATGGAATATGTGAGAGGCTTGGAACACCCCTGGTAAATGTGACAAGTTTGGCATCAGTGGCAGATGCCCAGAGTGTTGTGTATGTATAATATACAGTTACATGCATTTGTCGTACACTATGCCAGTGTGCATGTTTATATACACGCTTCCTTCTGTAAATAAAATGGAGATACCAACAATATTGTCCCTACCTTACAGAACTGTTGTGTAAGCCATTGGTATACATAACTAATTAGATTGGCAATTTAGATAGATGAACAATAATTTGTGAGTTCTAGCTGTTGCCTGGTTTATGTCAGTATTGTTTGCTACTAAGAATTTTTTGCTTTTTCGGAAGCCAACAAATTTGCTGACTAGCTTTTATAGATTGCATGTTATAAAGTGAAATGAGCAAAGGTGGCTCCAGACCCACAGAAGATTTGCTTTGACTGACTAAGAAAGAAACCACATGCCAGGTGTCAACTGAAAAATAAATGTAATGTATCAAATATTGGCAAAACTTTATTTTCAGTCTCACTTGAAAAAAAGAGTTTGTGAATTTGGAGATGTTAACCATTTTCAGAGTACCAATGAATCAATTACTCTACCAAATAGTGTAGGGGTTTTGCCCACAGTAAGAAGCATGTATCGCATGACAACATACTACACACATAGGACAGACACCTAACAGAAACAAAAGCTTCATGCAACACTTTGCTCAGCCTTACAATGTTACTCTGCTGTGTTTCCTTTTTTATCGTTTTTACTACTGTTCATAATCCATTAAACTGAATGCTGTATTCACTGATGAACTACAACCCACACTTTAAAAAACATTACTTATTAAAGGCTTTTTCGGACATAGGTTTCAATTTTGAATTATAGTTTCTATCTAGCATAAATCTTCAAAATCATATTTGTATTTGTTACTTTGGCCACTGGCTTAAGTTGTTTTTCTCTTCTATTAATCAGGTATCAACGTGGTTTTTTACCACCTTTTCTGTCTCAGGACTGAAGGACAAAATCCACCATGTGGACAGCCTCCACCAGCTATTCTCTGCCATATCACCAGAACAGATTGACTTTCCTCCTTTTGTCCTTGAATATGATGCCAGGGTAAGAAGTACCAGGAGTCCCCCCTTACCTAGTGCAGTAGTTTAACTATTCTATAGGACACTGCTTGCGAGCACAGCATCCTTTATTATAAGATGATATTAATGCAATTAGCAGGTTTTAGTAAACTTGATAGTATCACTTAACATTCTTTTCCTACAGTAACTAGGAAAACGCATTGTCCTAATAGAGGACCCCAACAAACTTTTCAATGAGAGATTTTTTTGCTGTTGGTTTGAAGCCAATCCTTGCTTATATTGTCCTTTTTCTACCACTTCTGCCTAATTTTCTTAGGATTGACTAGCTTTTCTGTGTTAGTGATAATGGCAATGGCTTAAAGATCTTAGAGTGATTTAGAAGTAGACATTTTAGGAAATAAAATCCACAGCATTTGGTGACTGAGTAAGCCATTAGGGGAGATGAAAGAGGAAGAATGCCTAATATGACTACCAAAGTTTTTTCTGCTGTGGGAAACTTGATGGATGGTATTGCGACCACAGTGTTCTTTGGAGGAAGAACATTGGGGTGAGGGGGTGGAGGAAGTGGAAGAGAAGAGATTGGTGGTGTGTGGTTTGTGACACACTAGGTTTCAGGTACCCTGTGGAGCACTGAGGTGGAGATCCAGTAAGTGGTTGGATATTACCTTGTAAGGAAATATTTTCCTTTGCTGGGAGAAATGACAAATAGAATCAGAGAAAAGGAATTGAGTATGGAGTTGGTTAATTTATTATCATGTTCAGTTGTGCCTTGCATGTAGTGGAAAAGACAGGGCATGATGTGTCATTGTTGGCTGGTTTCAGTGGGCTTCTATTTTCTAGGTCTTGGGTGACTTAGAATAGTGACATAAGTTTTATAGGAATGTAAGGAACCTTTGAAGGTGATTAGAAGATAATTTTTATCTATCTATATCAAAATGTTACAGAGACCATTTCAGAAAGGCTCCTGGTCAGCATTCTTACGGATACAAGATTTAGTCAAAGAAGAGAGTATACAAATTTGGCAACAGTTCTTCAAAGTTCTAAGACTATTTCCAGAAATAGAGAAAATAGATTGCTCAGAAAATATATTGCTCACAGTGTGAGACTAATATAAAAAGCTCTATTTCATAGCATTAAGAATTAGATTTGCCCTTCTTACTTTATCACAATTTAATGTAGATAGTAGAAACCTAAAAACATATGGTTGTAGAATGGAATGGGGAAATCTTAAAGATGGATAGTGAACCATTTCTTTTCAGATGAACTTCAAAATAGAGTTATCTCTTCAGGCATGTTTCTTAAGCATGGTTTCCATGCATGGTGAGGATATAGGAGTGGTTAGTATAACAGATCTTGATAGGAAACTCTGAAGTACCAAAAAAAAAAAAAGTTTTCATTAATTTTTTTCAAGTATCCTGAAATGCAACCAATCCTGGGATTTGTTTCTACCTAATTTTAAAAAATCTTTTTAATACCTGGTCAGATTTATAATCAGAAAGTAAATTTTCCTAGATCTTCTCTTATTTTCCTGGCTATGGTCCCAGGATCAATCTTACTCCAGAGCATCTGCTCTGAAAAATTTCAGAGCTTTTAGGGGCACCTGCCAGCACAGTTGATTAAGCGTGGGACTCATTTCCGCTCAGGTCATGATCTCCAGGTTGTGAGATCCAACCCTATGTTGGGCTCCACACTCAGTGTGGAGTCTGCTTGAGATTCTGTCTCCCTCTGTCCCTCCTCCTTTCCTCCCCTACCCCCTACATTGCTCACCCTGTCTCTAAAAAAAAAAAAAAAAAAAAAAAAAAAAAAGTTTTGATTCCCTTAGTTACTCAAATAACATTTAACCACCTACCATGTTCAAAACCAGTTAGAGTGAATGCTCCATTCATAACAAATAATGTAAATATACCACAAAGTACTGGTATTTTCTTTCTTTTTTTTTTTTTTTTAAGATCTTATTTATTTATTTGAGAGAGAGAGCACAGGCAGGGGAAAAGGGAGAAGCAAACTCCCCACCAAGTAGGGAGCCCAATGTGGAGCTCAGTCCCAGGACCCTGGAATCATGACCTGAGCCAAAAGCAGACCCTTAACTAACTGAGCCACCCAGGTGCCCCAAAGCACTGCTATTTTCATCTCTCATTCTCCATTCCTATTACCTACATTAATGCTAAGCATTTCTGTTTATGGTTTACTAAAACACAATTTGTCAGATACTTTCCTTAAAAATGAGAAATGAATCCTAAGTCCCATAAATGTAATCAGAGGTCCATCTACCATAAAGTTAACTGTCTTCATTTTTATTAAGATGAAGTTAGCCAAATGAAGTCAGAAAATTTGCCCTTACTCTTCTGTTTTGTTCCATCATTCTATATTAAGATTTGGCACACAGTGAGACAACCCAGTCTAACAAAATAAACTGGGCATTAAATATGAATACATGAGGATTGAAATTCAGGCACTTCTGGTCACTATGAGGTGAACTTCGGTGAGTTATGCAAGCTGTGTGATCATCAGTTTCTTCTGTAAAAAGAGGATGTTACCTACCTCATAGCATTATGTGAGGATATAAAGGGATAAAGAAAAGTGCTGTTATAAAGTATCAGGCATATAGAATATCCAGCAAGTAATAATGTTATTTAAAAATATTATCCTGATTACCTCTGCTTACTCTACACCAGCTCTGGCTGACTGCAGCGGAGCTGTTTTGAAGGCTGAGCACCTTGTCCAGGGTCAGGCATGTGCTAGATATTGTACATACATGATCTCATTGACTATAAATCCTTTCTTTCACATTACCATTTAAATTAAATTATTTAATTGTTCTTATCTTTTTTTTTCTTCCACAGGAAAATGGGCCTTACTATGCATCTTATCCCCCATCACCAGATTTGTGACCTGCCATCTTTTAGTGCTACTGGTTTCCAAGGACATCACTTTCTCCACAAATTGCTACCTATTGAAGTGAAATTCATTTTTGCTGTTCAGATCCAGAGAGCCTTTTGTCCCCACCTCTCTGGTATTTTTTTATTGACTGTATATTTTCTGGCACATAAGCAATCTGAAAATGGTAGGCCATTCTGAACTGCACGCTTATTTTAAATTTGTATATTTGTATCAAATGAAAATGTTCATTTTTAGAGGGTTGTTAATAGAAATTGGGGAGCAACTTTTAAGTATCTTCAGTTTCCTGAAAGGACACTGGATTTTCCATTAGACAAGCCACCAATATTGTTCATGCCATCTCTTTAACATTGCATGCTTCCTTTGTGTACTTAAATGTTTCTCAAAATATATAGAACCAATGTATGCAGACCATATGCATTGTTTGCTTCAGATCCTGGCATTATGTTTGATATAGATAATTTAGTTATGATAAAAAAGAATTGTCTGGGATTAAGGATGTGGGAACGTATCTGATCAGAGCATCAAAATCAATAGGAAAATACAGGTCTTAGCGTTTCACTACACCAGTTAAGGTTAAGATTTTGCATTATATGATTTGTTAAGATTGCCACTATTCTAGTCTCAACAGTGGGGGGAAACAAGAAGACTGTATCTTCCACCTTTTTCCTATAATCATGGGTGATTTGGTGTCCTTCTTCTAAAGGATTGCACTCATTAGTACTCTTAAGTGAAAAGCATCTCCTAGACTCCATTTTCAGTGAGCCTTTAGAGAGTGTGCTGTCTCCCCAGAGTTGTGATTTTGTTGGGCTTTACAGCTCCTCCCTCTCAGGACATTTCTTCGCAGTGTTTCTTGATTTACCTACGTCCAAATGGAGGAAGTGTGTTGCAGTGCACAGAATTCCAAACTGCTGTTACCACTCAGGCTCTATTTGTGCCTTAGCTCGCTCATGAATAAAAATTAGAATTGTGATACCAACCTCACAGAGGTATAGAAGGCTGGCATTTAGAAAGGGCTTTTGGTGTTCTGGATGCAGAATGCTAGGGGAGTTCGTGTAGGTGTCACCCCAGTTCGTTTTTAAAATGATAATAAAAGTACTTCAGGGTACTACCAGGCACTCCTCTTGTCCTTGGCACCTTTTGAGTGACTTTTCTTGTCTTGGGACAAGAGTTGTTACTGAAAAAACCCAACCCTGAGGACCTCCTTCCTACTTTGTCCAGAATTTCTTCTGGCCTACTCCTCTCCCAGTGCTACACGTTTAACAAGAGGCATCTGTTAGCCATTTTAAACATTTCTTCTTGAATTGAGGTCAAACCAGTATCATTTCCATCTGGGTGTCTTCATATTCCTTTTGATTCCTACATCCCCGCCCCCATCTCTCTCACTCCATCATGTACATTGGCAGTTTAGAGAAGAAAAAGTAGAGCTCTTCTGTTCTAATGTGTTCAGGGTCAGTGCTTCCAAAGATCTTTTTCCTCTGTGCCCATATTAATTCTTCAGTGGATAAAGGAAACATACATCTTTTATGACAGAGAAATCCCCCTCTAGTTGGATTAGCCCCATCCTCTATTTTCCAGTGCAAACAAGAGGGGGCTTTATGTTTCTTTGATAAGCACTCATATCTTTTGCATGAAATGGGGACATTTGCTTTGTGTCAGAAATCAAAGCCACTTATCCTTGTATATGCTTATTTGATAAGGGTTTCCTGTATGTTACTTAGGTCATCAGATGCAGACAGCCAGTCAGATGTCTACTAGTAACCTTCCTCTTAAACAGCACTACTTTATATCCCTTAAGCTTTGAGCTTTAAAAATCTGAAAAATTAGCTTCATCATTTCCAGTCTATTTATTGTTAGATCATATTTGAGGTATCTTTGCACTAAGAGCGGTTATAAAAATATGCCAACTTTTCTTTTTTGTAAGTGGACTATCTCAAATTGGCATCTGGCCTGAATCATTTCCTCTGTAGATAATAGAGGCTGCAAGCTACTTTGCCATTTGAAAGGAAGAGAATTGATTTGCACCATTTCTTATAGGCAATAATTTTGAAAGAACGTCCCTTTGCCATATTCATATGAGTATATGAATGTCTAATAACACAAGCAGGCTTCTATATCATAGGTTCTAGTTCAATTGATGTCCTAGGGTATAAAGGTGTATGTATATATATATATATATATATATATATATATATATATATATATCTCAACCACATTTCATAATTTAATGTGACAAAAGATAAGAGTTGCACTTCTCAGTGAAACTAAATTTGGTATGGGACCAAGTTCATGCTTTTATAACTGTCTAAAGTGTTATGTAATATAGTTGTTGGAAGGATTAAGTCCTACCAAAGGAATACAGTGACCTTGAGAGTGAAATGATTATGTAACGTTCAGTATATATCTGCCTTTGTCAAAAGGTTGGGTTGCCTGGAGAACACATGCCATTCTCAGAGACACATTAGAGGATGAAAGGATGACTGGGTGGAGATGAGTACTAGCATCTGATGTTAATTCAAAGCACTACCAAGTACTTAATTAAACTTTGGTCATGCCAAATGCTAGTTGAATTGAGGAAGAAACAACTTACAAAATATTAGGTGAATTCATTAATTCATGCAAGGCATAATAGGATTTTCTTACACAAGTACATTTCTTCAGCATCTATTTGGATTCTTTTTAACTCATCTATATCCAATTTTCTTGATAGTGAAAATAACCTCTTGAAAAAAACTGTCTTCATTAGACTCTTAAGGCTTAGAGACCAAGTAATTCAAGATTTTCTTTAATACACATCTTATTTCATTGGCTGGTGCTCTATTATGTTTATTTTTCCGAAGGGATCCAATTAGTTTGAGACTAAAGAACAGGATTTTTAGAGTATTTTTGATAGGAAAATGGGTATAAATTTTTTTATCAAATATCTGAAATCTGGAAGGATTAATATATCTTGCATTTCTAGAGAGGGACAATTGTAAACAGTTGTTTAGAAAAACATGGCTTGCCTATTTCTACCTGTTTTCTATTTGCTGAGAATATCATTCAGTGAATCCAAACTGTAGGTAATGGTTTCATTTCTTTGCAATACCTAATGGAAAGTGATAAAAATGTAGTTTCAGTATAAGCTAAAAATCACTCTGTGTTTCCCGATTGTCTGTGTATGTATTAGAGAGTTTATATTGATCAACATGTGAATAGAAATTATTATAATTTTAGGTAGTAGAAAGAAAAGGATTGTATGGTTCTAAGAACAGTGGATTGATTGTATTAAAGACCCAAAAGACTACAAGATAGGATATACACCTCTAAACCTGGAGTTGACCAGTGAGTTTCAGATTGTTGTCCTCGTAAGTTACGGTAATTGTAATTAACACACACTTGAGTGTTCTACCTATATTGGCACTAATAGCATACCTAATGGTATATGATTAACTTTTGGTTCAGGATTGCCAGAAGCCATAAAGGATTAAAGGAGGACTCTACCTGTGATCTAGGTCATATCAGAAACCCAGAGATTATAAGAATTGCCTATTAGGCCAAACCATATATACATATGCATGTATAAACTAACACATACATATGTGCCTTCCTACATATGTACATGATTATATATATGTATAGACACATGGTAATCCACTTTGCATTACATTCTTTGAATGTGGTTTCTATGGCCCATATGTAGAGAACATAGAGCAATAAATAACATAGTTGAAGCTTTGATTCTATCAAAATAGCCCTTAAGCTGATAATATTAAGGTCATTTTCTATATTAGTGGCTTTCTTGGATATTAGTTGTTAATTTTGTTTTCTTTGCTTCCAGGAACAGTATCAAATCTTTTTAATGCTTACTTATTAAATGTATAGGGCCACTGAGTTCAAGGAGAAAAGCAGATATTCTGTAGGTGAATTACACTAACAAAAATCATAACTACTGAATGTGACCTAATATTTTTATTGAACAGTTAAAATGAATACATTTTGTATGCATGGTTACACTTTTTTTTTTGCAGTGTTTTGCTAGTATAAGCACATAGTCATCATAAACTGAGCCAGTACTTTGTCAGTACTTATGGGCCAAAATATTTAAATATGAGCTTAACATACATAACTGATTTTATTTACTGTTGGGCACAGGAGACCTAAAATTTTTATTAACATGATTTTAAAATTTGTTTATTTAGAATGTATATATTGCATTTAAAAATGTATTTTGGTCTTTCTGAGTTAGAAGTTAGATACCATTTAAAGAGAATCCCACTCTGTGTAAGTATAGCTTATGATGAAACAGTAGTAAAATAGTAATGTTTATATCGAACCCCAAGGTGGCACATTCTGTTTTATCATTTACACCTAGCTTTTCTCTAATCACTGAGACTAAGCTACAGTAGTAGTACAAAATGCAGTAAATTTTACTGTCAGCCTTCTTTATGGGGATCTAGACTAGTGCTTCTCAAACTTTAATGTACATATATTAAATTGGCTGGCAGTATGTTAAAATGCAGATTCTGATATAGTAGTAGCTCTGGGGTAGAGCCTGGGATTCTCGGTTTCTAACAAGCTCAGATGATTTTCAATACTCCTGGTCCCAAGACCACAAATAAAAGAGCCTAGATTATATTCAGCTTCTGTATTTTCCTTATTTTGAGGAAAGGAGACATAACTGCCATAATCCCTTCTGTGGGCCAGGCACTCACATTCATTATCTCATTTAATCCTACAAATCCAGGCTCCTGGGTGGCTCAGTGGTTGAACATCTACCTTTGGCTCAGGTTGTGATCCCAGGGGCCTGGGATCAAGTCCTGCATCAGGCTCCCCATGGGAAGCCTGTTTCTCCCTCTGCTTATGTCTCTGCCTCTCTCTCTATGTCTCTCATGAATAAATAAAATTATTTTAAGAAAAAATCCTATGAAGTAGATGGTTAAATGACCTGCTGATGCCCACGCACACAAGCAGGACAGTACTGAGCAATGTTTCTCAATTTGAATAATGCACATCCCCTTTGACTAAGGAAGGCTCTCTTAGTTCCTGTGTTTTTATTCCATTCTTTATTATGTTAACTAAGTATATGTAAACATAAAGCTACATATAATGCTTTATGCTTATAGCTGTTGCACAAGTATAAACCCAAAGAAATTTATAAATAGATAAAAGCAAAACTAACGAAATTTAGAAAAAAAATTAGTGAAATATGATGGATGATGACATTTTACCAAAACAAAACGGTCACTTGTACCGTGATTATGGCATGGAACACTGTAGTACAGGTTCTTTTGAGATCAGCATGCACCTGCCATGTGCTGTGTGCCATGTGGTGACTCAGTTCTCCCACTGTGTTTCTTAGTTCAGACTCTTTCATTTGTTTAGTACATAGTGATGTACGGTCTTCATCTAGCTTGACTGCATCCTTTCCCTATTAAGGGAAATACTTTCTCTGTTCTCCATGTTCTCCATAAGCCTCCCACAGCTAAAGCAGAACCCGACTTCACTGTGCAAGTGAACACAAATGCAAACCTAGGCACTGAAACGTCCTGGCAATATTTGGTTTTAAGGCAGGTATGTCAATAAATTGATAACCAAAACATTATATTAATTATTTTTAAGTTTTCTATCATCATGAGAAATGTCTAATTGTCAGAGAATACCTGTGGATCCCCTACTAAATACACACACACACACTCACTCACTTACATTCACTCCTCCCTTCCCACACACACAAGAATTTAATGATGGTTAGCTAGCATTGATGCTTTGATTCTTCACACATTGGGGTTCTGACCTTGAGCAGGTTTCTCAGCCTTTTCTGAACCTCAGGGTTGTCAGGTGTGAAACAGATAATCTTATTGAATAATTAAGAGAAATAAATGCAATAATACTTATAAAGCATGCATATAGTAAGTGTTTATAAAAGGAAGCTACCATTGCTTTGATTAGAAATAATAATAATAACTAACATTTGAGGACTTACTATGTGCCTTCAACTTTGCTAAGTACTTTATATATGTTGTCATATATTGAGAGAATCAGGATTCAAATCTAAGTCCTACTTCAGAGCTTATACTCATAAAAAATAATATAAAACAGGAATATAAGTTGCTTATTTAAAAAGTTATTTAATTTTAAATTGTATTTTCTCAAAAGTTCTTACTATAAAATTAATGATGCTTCTCTGGAGGTGGGCAGTGGCTAATTTTTTTTTTAAACAGTTGTGTAATATGCTAGGAAATTGACACAAGGTAAAATACAATTTTTTTAAAGGCTGCCATGCTAGGTTGTAGTCCAGTAAAAGGATATTAGAATCATTAGGCTCAACTTGTACATTACTGTGCTCTTGCACATTTATCATCTGTAACTAATGATAACATGAGATCTTCCTGAATCTCAATGCAGCTTTGTTGCAGAAAAAAGAATTTTCCACCCACCACTATTATAATCCTTGATAGTTCTGAGAAATAGTCTGCAAACATCTTAATTTTCACCTGTGAAACCCATTTTTAAAAATTGTTCTGTCCTTTAAAATAGTTTCAAGTAAGTCTTCTATCTTTTCTTAGCTTTCTAAAATAAGTTTTGGAGTTCTGAAAAATGAACAAGCATACCTCTGGCTGGGCTTTTTACTCTTGGCAGTTTTTTTTCCTAACTGGGTGCTAGGAGAAGATAGCAGGAGAGAGTTGTAAGAGGAACTCAGTTATTTATTAACAGAGATAGTATGTATCAAATTCAAATTCTTTCCCTACTTACTAAAACATACTTGCACACATTATTAAGGTAGTGGAGGTACATGAAATGTGAGGCTATCACTGAATTTTGTAGTCTGTTTTAAAAAATATTTATAGAAGCCTAATAATAACCTATGTTGTGGAAATGACTGAGTTTCTGATCCAGCATCCCTAACGCATCTGCAAGATCTTTAAGTTCAGGGAATGCATGGCTCTCCATACATGTGGGATATTAGTATAGAAGGTATGTCCTGTGTGATACCTCACTGCTTCATCCCATAGCACAGCATAAGAAAATTGTCCTGGCTTCACATTAGAGATAAATCCTCATTCTACCTGATTTCCTCCACTTAGCAGTCTGTTGCTTGATTTGGGTTGTGAGTCCTACTTCTCTTATTAAATACAAATAAGACCAGTTTATTATGACTTTGGATGGAATGGCCTTTTTCCTCTTTAAAATCCAAATTTATTTTTCATAAGGAAGTATACTAAGCATCTGACTATTCCATTATGTCTTCTAGGTTAGATAATGTCTGACGACATTTTCACTTTGAAATGCTTATTGTAAATTATAACATTGATTTTTTAAAAAACATTGTAAGTAGGGTGTAATCTATGAATCTATGAATAGGGTGTAAAGTAGGCATTAAAGCTTCCTATAAAGTGGGGCATTGGTTCTCAAACACAGGAGGAGGTAGAGGCTCAGGCAGGTGAAGGCAGGTTGGACTCATAGCCAGATCATGTATGTTGTACGTAGTTTCAGAATGACCTTCTGCCATCTATAGCTATAGCCCTTTGGTTTAACTGTCCACACAGCTGCTTGGCTTTGACGTTCCCTCTTCTGGCCTCTCAAGAAGTTTTTGTGTTTTCTTTTATTATTTATAATTTATTTTTTTTATCTCAGTTGCACTTGCTCAGCCAAGTTCTAGGGGAGGACCAGAATTCAGGAGTTAGCTGCAGAGGTTATCAATCAACTTACAATTTCGTAAGTGAAGCCCAGACATGCTGCACACTTGTTTTCTTTGTGTACTTAGTGCAAGACCAGAACTATGAGGTGCTAACATTTCCTTGTTGAATCCATCTTGTTGCTATGGAAAATGCTGTCCTAGATAATTCAGTTTGGAGCCTCACATAACCCCCATGGAAATTGTACAAGAAGTGAGAAAAAGGCAAGGAACTCCCACCCCTTTTTTTTTTAGTTCACAGTAGTGGAATGGCATAGGGTAAAAACACTCTGTGTCTTGGATTTTTTGTTTGCTTGGTTTTTTATGTTTTTAATTTATTGTGACATGTACCAAAATCAAATTGTAATATAATACCATCCTATATTATATTCTTTTGGATATAAAAGCTCTCATGACTATGCCTATTTCTATTCTAATTTTGTGGAGTATATCGTTTTTTTGGTATGTTAATCTTTTAATTTTCTCTTTATTTTTTTTTAGCAGCTTTATTTGAAAAGTAACTGACATATAAAATTCACCCATTTAAAGTGTATAGTTCAGTAGTTCTTAGTATGCTCGGTGTTGTACAACCATCACCACTATCTACTTGTAGAACATTTTCAACACCCTAAAGGGAGGCCCCATACCCATTACCAGTCATCCTCCATTCCCACTCTCCTCCACCCTCCCTCCTGTGTTGTTTGGGCTTGACTGCAGTATGTCCTCCCCCTAAGCCATGTCTCCAGGTTGCACTTATTGGGAGAACAGTGTCTCAACAAATACTTGTTGAATTAATTAATACCCATAAGTCACTAGCCATAGGTAGCAACTGAGGAGTAATTGAAAGGGCCATGGCATAGATGTCAAAACACTATATTCAAATCCTGACTGATGCTTACTTACTAGCAGTGTTGTTCTGGGTATGGAGTCACCTAGCTCTTCTGAGTCTGTTTTCATATCTATAAAGTGTTGCTAGCCATAACTACTTCACAGGACAGTTGTGAAAAAGACCTGAGAAAATATAGTCGCAACACTCAGCACAGTGCCTGGCCCACACTAAGAAAGGAATGGCTCTTTGGTCCCGGGTGAGAGAAACCCCTGGCTTGGTGACCAGGCAAAAACACCTGTGGTTCAAAGCAGTGGCATCGCCCTTTCCTAGGGCTCAATCTTCCCAGTTTCTTCCTCGCAACAGAGAATTCTAGAGTACAACTTGCAACCGCTTATTCTCCCTTAACCTCTCAAGTGCTGCTTCCCCTCTTTCCTAACCAGCATGATAGCTGCTTTCTGTCCCCATGCCGATGTCGATGCTTACGTAGGGCCCACCCTTTGTATGGAAGCGAGCACTGTCCATCAGCTCTAAAGAACTGACCATCGAGAATGGATTGCCAACCCCCTTATCCCAACCTCAGCAGCATTTATTGCTCCCTTCCTTCACCATGGGTGCAAAAACCCTCTCCAGGAGAATAAGCTGCCCAATTTAAGCAACTGGCAGCCTGGGATGATTGCAGGGCCTTTCAGGGACAAAGGAATGTATTTAACTATCTTTTTTGTCTCATAGCTGCCACCTTCCCCTGCTTCCAGAGTTGCCTTAGCAGATTGCTACACACGCATCTTAGAAAAACATTTCCTGCATAACACAAATGAAATAACAGCAGCTGTCATTTACAGGATACCAGGCATTGTAAATATCTAATTCTTACAGTAAACTTGCAACCTAGGTATTTTCCCCATTCTACAGAAGGAAAAGAAGGACCTTGGAGAAATAAAGAAACTAGCCACAAGGTAATTTTAGGGAATAGGTTTTGGAAAGGCAGAGAAGATTGGGTGAATCTACCTATATAGAGTGTCTTACTTCCACTATTGGGCTATTCATTATATGGCTTTAGAAGTATAGGCTCAGCCATTTACTAGCTATGTGACCTGGATGTGTTTCCCAACCTCTTTGAATTTCAGCTTTCTCATATGTAAAGAGCACTTATCTCTTAGAGTTATTGTGAAGATCAAATGACTTCATACTCTGAAAGTCTCATAAATATTAGCTTTTGTCTTATTTAAATATTCTAATTGCTGTGATCAAAGTGTCTCACTTTCCAGACTTACCAGATACACTTGGCTCTTTAATTTTTAAATTATGTCACATTCCCAACTCAGAAAATGTATAATGTATCTGGTGTGTCTTTCTTTCAAGAGAGAATGACATTTTAAAGTGAAGGTTGGCAAACTTTTTAGGTAAAGGGCCAGATCATAAGTATTTTAGGTTTTTCAGGCCATATGGTCTCTGTCACAACCATTTAGCTCTGCTGCTGTAGCAGGAAAGCAGTCATAGACAATACTTGAGCAAATGGGCATGCCTGTATTCCAATAAGACTATTTATGGAGACTGGAATTTAAAGTTCAAATGATTTTTCAAGTATAACAGAATACTATTTCTCTTTGTTTTTGGCCAATTAAAACTGTAAAAGCTACACTTAGCTTGAGGGCCCTATAAAAACAGGCAGTGGGCCATAGTTTGCCAACCCCTGTTTTAAATAAATAATTCGATGGTTCTTTAAAGCTGATGAATCCAGCAGAGGCCTAAGTAAGGAAAGGAATGTGGAGGAAGAAAATCAAGAGCCAGTCACCCTATCAACTAGCTAGCCCAGATCACAGCTATGTTAATCACTCCCTTGCCTAACACAATCCATGTAATCCCTTTAAGCTTAACTTTTTTATCTATAAAAATGAAGTAGTGATATCTCTCTGACCTTAACTACTTCCTCCTGGTGGGGGGAGCTTGATAATAATTATTTGTTGAACTTATACCTTTGTGCTGGATAGTTGAATCTTTTTTGTTCTTACCCTCTTTATTCCTACTTTACAGATGAAGAAATGGAGATTCAGAGAGACAAATAACCTGCTTCAGTTTACAATACCAGTATCTAAGGGGTTTGACTCCCATAAACCCTTCCAACCCTCTCAGTAGAATACAGACTCTGAAAATAGAGACCTCACTGGACTCATTCTGTGCTATATCCCTAGTGCCTAGACTAGTACCTGATATATAATAGTGCATAAATGCTTGTGGAATGAATGAATGAATGAATTTTTCCATTATGCCAGTGGTTCTTAATCTTTTCATAGGTCAGGGACACCTCTGAGAAACATTGTAAAGGTCTGGATCATTTCTCCAGATAAATCTCAAACTAAGAAACCTTAAGTATTTGACAAACTATTGAAAGAAGATGCTGTTCACATACTCTGAATAATATTATTCTCATACGCATGGAAACAGGATTTGGAGATGTCTTATTTCTTTCTTTTTTCTGAAATCATGATATTAAGGAACCTAAACAAGGCCTAAAATGTTTTCTTCTCTATAGGCACCCATCGCTCCCAGACATACTTCTTAAAACTCTTGATCCCCTTACAAGTCACTTTCTCAAAAATTATTACTTAAAAACGACTTTTATTGAGCCCACGTGCTTCAACATGAAAAGTGAGAAACCACAGCCTATTAAGACTAATACGCTGTTTTTTGTCTTTGGAAATACAGTTGGGAAGGAAATATTCACTCTTTACTGCCTAAAGACCAACCAAATCTGAATCTAGTATGTTACTCAGGACAGGCCTTCTGCTGTTTCTACTTCTTGTCATTTACTTAGGACAGTACATTCTATACCATGGTCTCCTGTTAAGACCATGAGAGAGAGTTATTAAATATTTAGACATTAAAATCAGACATTACTAATTTTTATTTCCTCCTATAAAGCATCTGTTGTTTACATACCCCCATTCTTTACATCGGGACCTTGAGATCATGACTTACTTTAGGTAAACAGTAAGATTAAGGGTATTTTATTTTCACAGAATGCTATAAAAACAAAGTCTGTTGCTCATGGTGGCTTAAAAAAACATTCAGGTACTGCATTCACTTGCTACTCCCTCTGCACTGTTTATTGCATCCCAACCCCAAAGAAGTTCCATTCTAAAACATGAGTATTCTCTCCTGTTTCTGGTACAAGTCACTGTATTCACACTTTGGCCTTGTTGTACCATTTAATTTTTCCCATGGCACTTACTACCAAGGCTCATATTCAACCACACCAATTGTTAAAAGTACTGAAATACTTCCATACGAGAATAGCTGCTATCCTGAGTCTTCCAAATGCACTTTACTATCCCTTCCCCCAGTTTTCCTGGTTCTCCATACAATCTAAAGGGTTAATACTACCTACCCTCCCAGAACCCTACTCCAAGACTACGGCTAACACTTCTGATTGGTCAGTGCCAGTGCCATACCAGTTAAAATAACACATTGTTGACATATTTATATATGTACATATGAACAACCAGGGGTATGAACCTTTCTGTTTCCTTCATTACAGTATTCATTCTCTCTCCTTGAACAGTCCCTGACATCCAGTAGACTTACATAATTGCTAAAAGAAAAATAAAGTGTGTTTATGCTTATGGTGTCAAAGAAGTAAGGTCTGAAGCAGGAGAACCACATGATCAGTCAGGATTTGGGAACTACTTGATGAGTCCTAGGAGCAGAAAAGACATCGGAGTTAAGAGAATCTGTGTATGATACTTTTTTATGGACAGCCAAATGATCTTTCCTTTGGTTAGCCTTGCTTCACAACATTAATTTGCTCTTTCCAGGAAGGTTGAATATAATCGAGGATTGGGTTTCAGGTCCCAAATTGCCTCATTAATGACCAAATAGGAGACCCAGAGTCAGAAACTAATCTTACACTAAGCCCACAAGGCGTGGAAGCCTGTGTGAAGGCTTTTATGTGATGAGGTAATCTTACTCAGGAGTTTTGTGCAGTTTCCTGGGATGGTAGAGACACAGTCACCCATAAAACGAGCCTGAAAGCCTAACTAACCAGAGCTGTTCCTGTTTCCTGACAGCTGGGCGCGCGCACACACACACACACACACACACACAAAGAGTGGGCACTGTGGATGCTTACTACTAACCAGAGAGCTGCTCAGGTAAAACTCCCCTACACAAACCTGGGCACCATTGTCATCATGCCCCCATCAGGGTAAGAGACGGACAAGAGACACACGCATTTCACATCACTTCTGCAGAGTCCAAAAAAATTGAGTGCAGTGCATTAAGAATCCCATAACACTTCCTGCCTTTCCTTAATATCTACTGTGAATGTCTCTGAACTTCTGAAGCTATTCCAAGCCGGTGACATCTGTTATTTTTTATTTTTACTTTATGAGATATAATCTTCCATTTGTTCCAGATTTGTCTTTTTCAGTGTTCAAGGAGTACCTGCTAAACCTTGCATTTTATAATTTGGTGATTATTTAGTGCCATACTTCTTAATGTCTCCTGTCTTTATGTAATCAGCCCCAGATGAAAGTAGTTCTTCAATAGGCCCCACATACTTGGGGGAACTGTGAGGCACCCAGGTGCGAACTGTAAACTGCCTCTTGGGTCCATTACTCTCTTCTCCATCACACCAAAGAGGTTCTGTGTTTTCTTAATGACTGCAAGATAATTGAGATGGAACAAGGTGGCGCTCTGCCCTCTCGTTTCAGCTCTCATGCTGTAAATAAGTTTCCTGTTTTTGATTCATTCAGTGCCATGTTATTTTGCATTTTTGTCCTTTGTTGATTCCTCTGTTTAAAATGGCTCCCGGTGTAGCACTAAAGTGGTATCTAGTATTCCTAAATGTAAAAAAGGCTGCGATGTTTCTTGCAGAAGAAATAAATGGGCTAGATAAGATTCATTCAGGCATGAGCTGTACACTGCTATTGGCCATGAGTTCAGTTCTTAGTGTGTCAACCATATAAGAGATCCTTAAACAGGAACGTACAGAAAACAAAGTTATGGGTTGGTTGATGAAAATGTTTTGACTAGAGGTTCAAAGGAACCTCATGTTGTATTTCTCCTTGGAATTAGTGTTCCAGCAACTTAATAGAACACAACTACCACAAATAGTATGAATAAGAATCAATTGCAGTTGTGAGCAATTGAACATGCACTACTGTGTTTGTCTACTAATTAATACTAAGGTTAATAGATACAAATTTATTGCTTCCTCAGAAAATACTTATTGAGCAGCTACCATGCACTGGGCCATGGGAATACAGCCTTGCACAAGAGTCCTTAACTTCATGTATCTTATAGCCTGGTAGGGGCATGATATTTTAAAATGTTCTTGCAAACACATAGAAAAACTGTGAGTCTGATGTTAATGACCAATTCTATCACAACAGGGGATGGACAAAATTCTTAACTGGAAGGGACTAGGCAATGTCTGTTTTTGTTTTTTTTTTTTAAAGATTTTATTTATTTATTCATAAGAGATACAGAGAGAGGCAGAGACATAGGCAGAGGGAGAAGCAGGCTCCATGCAGGGAGCCCAATGTGGGACTCGTTCTGGGGACTCCAGGATCACACCCTGGGCCCAAGGCAGGCGCTAAACTCCTGAGCCACCCAGGGATCCCCAGCAATATCTGTTTTATCAGTTCTTCCCCACCTGTTCTGTCCATTCTCCTATCTGCACTAAAATGTAATCAGCTCCTCTTCAGTCAGTCCAGGATCCTGGGAGAATCTTGATAGAAAGCAAGTTAATAGGTCCTTTCCCACTCATAAGAGAGGTCTGGAAAAAGCCTAGTCCAAGTGTTGCAAAAAGGTCATGTTTGGGATACTAACTGATTACAGCTGCAGCTGCTCGCATCACTGTAATGAGAATGACCATGGCGCCCTCCTGGGCTGAGCAGAGAAAAGGGCTGGAATCTCATAGTAACAGCTGCTGTGTTTTGTATTTGCGTAACTCATCATGGCTGCCCTATATCTGATATTTGAATATCTGGAAGCACATAGAATCAATGATCCACTTACTGCATGGTGATAAATATATAGACTTTCTGCTTAATCAGGGCTAGACTGTGATTCTAAACTCTTTTGCTATGCACTTTACTATTTTCCATATGATTCTAAGAATCTTCCTTGTCCAAAACATCTCGTGTCTCACTCTGCAGTCTTTCTTTGTATACTAATATCTGCCCTTTAAACTTGTTTTGGGACCACATGCCCATCCTCAGAAAGGGAGCCACCAACTCCCCACTTAAATTTGTGATGACTCATTCCCTGCTAACCCCTCTTCCAGCAGAACATCTTCAAGAGGCTAATACATGATTTATGAGCCCTTTTCACATCTAGATCCTTTCTCATCATGCCGGTCTGTATCATTCATCCTCTTGTGTGACCCAGGATGGTGTGAGACCCCTCCAGTCCGCTAGGGACTGATGACCTCCTTCTTACACAGCAACTAATTTCAGGGGTTATTTGTCACTGTGAGCAGTTACTCTAAGCTCAAGCTTTAAAATGTAGAACCTTCTTAAAAAATGTAGAATCAATGTAGAATCTTCATCAGCTATATTTCTATTGCTGCAGCCATTTCTCTACCTGTTTGCTACTTGGGAAATCCTTACAGTAATCAGATTGACCAATGTTAGCCAATTCTCCAAATAGGGCTTTGGATACTGCCTGCTACATAATATTTTCTTTGCATTTCTACATTAAACAGAGTAGTTTTATTAACCCTCCACGTGGGTTTTGTTGAAAGACAAAAACTTCCCATGTAGACCATACACTCGAAGAGGTCATACTTGCAATATTTGTTTTGAACACCATAGTATTCACATTCCTGACCACAATACTTGCACCAAATATGTTTTTTTTTCACTGACTAATTGGGCTAAGTGCCATCCTGGATTCTCACATTAATTGGAAGCCCTGCCTTTTATAGTTACTTCTGGACATGACATTATAAATATGTACTCATTGACTATATTTTAAAAATAGCCTACTTACTGCTGGGGTAGGGGCAGTAGTTAACTGTTTCACACCCATTTCTGTATTTTTTGTTTGTTCTCATTTTTTTACTTTATACTGTCCTATCATGAAAAGCAATTAGGCATGTATCTATAGAGATATGCATTACAGGTAGGAAGTGGAGAAGGTAGGAAGTAGAGGAGGCAAGAAAATCAGTCTTGCCTTGTTTACATATCTAAAGAGCTAAATGACTTTTGGTATCAAATGAGTTATTTGCAAAAAGATAAAAAAGATGGATTTCTTTGGCAAATGAGAGAGTGCCTGTCCCAATTTAGAAAGGCCTGATAGTGTTGCGATGTTTTAAGTGTTGAAGATTCTTTTCCTTCTTCTTTTCCTTGTTCATACCACTTAACTTGGTAGAGTGTTGCAGAAAGAACCCAGGCTCTAGGAGTAGAAGGCCTGGATTTGAACCTCAGCTTCTCAGTTTTCTTACCTATCTGGCCTTTATCTCATCTTTATGCTTATCCTTTTTTTAATTTTTTTTTAATTTGAGAGATAGGGTACATGTACACACATGAGAGTGAGGGCAGGGGCAAATGGGGAGGGAGAAGAAGAGGGAAAGAATCTCAAGCTAACTCCACACTGACTGTGGAGCCCAATGCAGGCTTCCATCTCCCAACCCTGAGATCATGACCTGAAATGAAACCACAAGTTGGGGGCTTGACCAACTGAGCCAACAAGGCACCCCTAGATCTTATGCTTGTCTTATACTGTATCACCTCAAAATATAGCTGTGAAGGTAAATCATGAACTACATCCAACTAGAAGTAATATCATCATCACATCCTTTGTAAATCAAGATCAACTCCCCCCTGAGTCTGGATATTGTAAGACTTTGCCAGCATTACAAGTTTTAAGAAAGGCTTCTGCTCACCCAAATGTAATATAATAAATGCAAGGACTTTGCCAAGGCAAATTCCTGAAAAGAACACAGTGCAACAGAAGCAGTTCACAAAGTCCTGTGAGTTTTGGTCAATGATTACATCCTGTTGCAGTGTTAGCAAGAATTGGCAACCAACCTGGAGATAGAGAAAAGAAGTGACGAAAATGTCAAGATTCCTTAAGCAGATATGTCACGGAATGAGTTAGAGTAGACTAGGACATTGTGTTCAGCGATAAAGGCCAGGAGGTTTGGCCATCTCCATACCAAATTATTATGGTCTTATTTGAAGAATCTCACTTTGCTGTAAAGTGTTGAAAACAAACACATTGTTAGTTAGGAGTTGTTAGTCCTGACCTTTATTCTGGATGACCTATGGACAAACACCATACTGTACTTTCCTGTCTTACAGTTTTAACATTTTATGGTTTTCAAATAAATATTTAGGACATGTGGTATGACAGTTGCAAGTGAACATTTGAGGAAGATGAACTTATTTGAATTTGCAGCTATTCCAGAGAGATTACATGGTAATCATGTTCCTGTTTGGTCATGGTTCTTGTGAGATGCGACATTGCAGAGATTTTCCAGAGAGAATCATATTTGAGAGTATGTTGGGCTCAACTGAATTTTGCAGCATGTCTAAGAACATTCCTATTGGCACTCCTGAGTTGGATTTTTAACTCTCTTAGCATCAGGTGTGAGGAAGGCACACCGGAATATAAAATGCATGTTCTCCATGTTTTGCACAGGAAATCTGGCTAACAGAGATCTCCTAAGTCCAGCCCACTACATGGTTCCCAAAGCACTTTCTCCCACGGGTGAGCCTAGAGGCTCTGCATTCATTTCTCAACCTCTTACCAGAGAAACTAATATTCTAACCCAATTATCAGGCTTTGACCTTTGGCACATTTGCCCTGTTGTCCTTATACACATAAGCACACTTGAAAAATGGGCTAGGTAAGAAAAAAAAGAAAAGTTGGTATCAATAAATCAGCCAAAGGGAAAAAAGAAAAGGAACCACCAAGAAATTGAAGGAGGCAGATGGAAGTGGATAAAGTGGTGGATGGAGGGAGGAGTTTTCCTGAAGAATGTGCTGTATCAGAGGACTATGACCCCATCAAAGAAAGAATTCTGACAGAACTTCTCTCTTTCTTCCCAGGGGTCTCTGATCATACCAGTGAGTCTGGGAGAAGAAGTGGAGGTATAAGGTCACATTTCTGAGCATCCTAAATTCTGCTTCACAGTCCTTTGAGTTTGCCGAAACTATGTTCCTGACTTTTGCATTTAAAATCCTCAGTAAGCAATGATGTAACCTCAGAGAGAGGCTGAAATAGTGTGTTGAGGTAAATAACAATAGCCTGTGTTTGTAATCCTTTACCACATGCCAGGCATTATTCTAAAAATATGAACACATTTGGTTCTCCCAACAATCCTGTAAGGCTAGAACTCTTATTTTCCCCATTCTGCAGGTGAGGAAATTGAGGCACAAAGATAATTAAGTGGCAAGGCTGGGATTTGAACCTGGTATTAAAGTAGCCAGGCCTCCAATTTGCCCATAGTGGTAGGCAGTTACTTTCCTAAGGATACCTGTGAATTGGTGAATTGGAATTCAGACTCTGAGACTCCCCATACAGCTTTATGAACCCCACAGCTGGTACCAGTGGTGGAGGCTATTGAACACTGCTGAAGTGTTTAATGTTGAGCCTTATACAGAGTAACCAAGAGTGTGCTAACAATTAAATGAGGAGGTATATTTGATCTTAGAACTGAGTACTTTGGTCGCTTACCATTTGTCCTTCCTCTGACAGGACTTGTCTTGGCAACCACCCAAATAACTGCATGTCCCAATATGACATAAGAAACAGGCATTCTCCAATGGTAACTTGGAATAGAATGTTCTTGATATGGAAAGACTAGGTTCCAGAGTTAAATGTACAGTTATAGTTAGAAAAAAATATATACATATGGTACAACAGTACTTTGGGGTTACTTATTCTCTTTGGACAATTTCTAGATGTGCTTTGACCAAATTAGTCAGATGATTCTCTTTTTATTTTAGCCCCATTCACTCTATTAGAGACTGGAATTAATTGCACAATGTCATGTTGGATATAGGACTCAAGCTGGGCTGCAAAACATATTGATTTCCATCATCTTTAGTTTCTTTCAGCATTAGTTTCCATGCTGCATGTAAAGGAACTAGCTTTTCATTCAGACCTCAAGATTCCAATGATAAGGCCCCAGGCCATTTTTACAGCTTCCTCTTTTCCCCACTACTTTACCTCCAAAGAAATTGGGCTAAACCCTACCAGAGTTTCTCCATTTCTGAATTTATGCTCTTCCTCTGAGTATCCTTTAAGACCTGTCATGAACCTCTTACCTTCCAGGAAACCTCCACCAATTTCCCAAAGCTCATTGATCTCCCCCACACTGAACTTGATCCCTATTTTAAGGCTCTTGTTGTTAACCTTCCTTGTAGATGAGTTACTTGTGTTCTTGTCCCACGTCCCATTTCTTCAGGTGGAGTGTGTGGCTTAGCCATCCCTTCACTCCCTGAGCAACACCTTTCTTAAACAGCCTAGCTCTGTGCCTTCCCAGGTATGTATGTTGTGAGGTGATATGTCATAGATATCAAATGTTAATCAGGGAAGGAACCTTAGAGTTAACTAGTATGACTTTTTCGTTTTATAGATGAGACAGAGAGATGTACAGAAGCCAGCCACCCAAGGTCACTGGTGAGATGGGAATCTCATCAGGTGACCTGATTCCCTGTAAATTATCACCTTCTAAAATGTGAAGCAGTACATGATGTCAAGGGAGAATATTTTGGCATTGTGAAACTATATGAATTGTTTATATGTTGATGGGAATAATAGAGCAGAGGGGAACATTGATGACACAATAATTGCAGGAGGGAAATTGTTGAGTATGTGAGAGGGGATGAGATCCAGTTCACGACTCAAAAAAAATAGACCTATCAGACAGTAGGGGACACTGAGTACATGGGTAGGTTGTAGGCATATTGGTAGATATCAAGAGAAAGTGGAAATTTTTTTTCTGAGCTTTCCTGGTTTTTCTTTTGAATAAAAGATAGGGTTTTCAGCTGAAAATGAGGAGGAAGGAAAAGGTATTGGAGGTGTGAAGTGAGAAGAGATAAAAGTCCTCTAGGGGAGTGGGAAAAGGAATCAATGACAGAATTACAGCATGATTATGGGCAGCACTAACTACTTGAGGTTTATGGTCAAGCAGTGTTTTCCAGTGGAGACGTTATTGGCCTTTTGAGCAGGCCTGTCGCTTGAGCATTTAGTATCCCTGGCACTTACATCCCTCAATGATTGTGATGATCAAGAAATGGTCCCTGTTGCATTTCCAAATACCCCGTAGGGGCTCTGAACTGTTTCTAATTGAGAAGAACTGGGACACCAGTCACAAGGGGGTATGCTTTTCTTTGGTCACATTCAGCTCCTCAGGTGCTGGCAGGAAGAAGGAGGAGATCTGAATTTAGGAGTTTTTGGATGTGACAGACAAGAGCAGGCAAGAGTGAAAGGCAGGAGTATTGAGGGTATATGTAATAGAGTGATGATAACAGTAAGGTTTTCTAAACAACGAATACCTGCTACTGACTCGAAGCAACTCAGGAGCGCCACATTGGTGGAGGATTTCTGGCTACATTCAGGGACAGTTGGACATGTATCAATTTTCTGGCTATTATGAATAGAGCACTATGAACATGATTATACATATTTTTGGGTGGACATACACATTCATTTCTCTTGAGAACATAGCCAGGATGGACTTGATGGGTCACAGGGCATACGTGCGTTTAGCTCTATTAAAAACTGCTCATTCATTTAAAAGTTACGTATATAGCTACCTTTGACTCAGCCATTCCATCCAAGTATTTATCCAAGAGAAAATAAGGCATATATCCACACAAAGACTTGTACATTACTATTGATAGCAGCTTTATTTGTAATAACAAAGAATTGGAAATGACACAGATGTTCAGCTACAGGTGAATAGGTCAACAAATGGAACTACAGCCATACAATGGAATACTACTTAGCAATAAAAAAGTATTAATAGACACATAAACATGGATGAATTATAAATAATTACTTGAGTAAAAGAAGCTAAATACAAAATACATACTGTATGATTCCATGAATATAAAATCCTAGAGAAGACAAACTAATCTATAGTGATAGAAAGCAGATTAGTGGTTGCCTGCAGATGAAGTGGTGAAGAATAGAGAGAAGGGATGGACTCCAAAAGGCTTGAGGAAACTTCTGGGGGTGGTGGATGTGTTTATGTTCTTGACTATGGTAATTACTTCATGGGTGCATACGTATGTCAAATTTATCAAATTATACACATTAAAAATATGCAGTGTATTGTACATGAATTATACCTCAAAGCTAAAAAATTAAAAACCTACTGAACAGTTTTCCAAAGTGGTTTAACCAATTTATACTCCATCAGTAATGTATGAGAATTCTAGTTTTCTATCACACTTGGTCTTAAACAGTCCTTTTAATTTTGGTGGTAGTGTGGTATTGCATTATGGTTCATTTGCATTTTCCTGATCAAAAGACATTGAGCACCTTTTCATATGCATAGTGTCATTTGAATATCCTCTTTTGTTAAATGCCTATTTCAAGCGTTTTCCCATTTTCCTGTGGGATTCTTAGTCTTTTTATTTTGATTTGTAGTTTTTTTTTATATATTCTGGATGAGGTTCTTATCATGATGGGGGAGAAGAGGTTGTCTTCCAGTGTGTCACTTGCCTTTTCACTCTCTGAATGTTGTCTTTTGATGAATATTTCATAATTTTAATGAAAAATCCAATTTATTAAGTTTTTCTCTTGTTTAGTGCTTTTTATATCTTGTTTTAAAAATGTTTGCCTCCCTAAAGTTACAGAGATATCTCTTGTATTTCTTTTCTACGACCTTTCGCTTTAATAATCATACATAGGCCTATGTGTTAAAAAAATTTTTTTTGGTATACTGTGAAACAGAGTGTGAAATAAAGGATCAATGAACACTTTTATTCCAGTGGATTTCAGTTGACCCAACACTATTTATTAAAAAGAACATCCTTTCCTGTGCTGAATTTCAGTGGCATCTTTGTCACAAATTAGGTAGCCATATGAAAACCATTTCTTATACCTTGTTTATAGATTTATTCTGCTGTATGTACAAGCTCTGTATCAAGACTATGCTAACCTCATAAAATAAGACCAGAGGGTCCTTTTTCTATGCTCTGAAAAATATGTACCTTGGAAGTATTTGTTTCATGTGTTTAAAATACTTAAATCTGTAAAGCCATCTGTATCAGTCAGTGTCCAATCAAGAAAACAGAAACCACTCACAGTATTTAAAAAGAGAGAAATCAAGATAGAATGAACCCAAAAGCCAACCAAGTAAAATTAGCAATAGTAGAAATAACTGTCACTTCTAATCTGGAGGGAACAAAGGTAGGAAGAGGTGTTACTAGAGTCCAAAGGCTAAAATCATGAATTGGAAGCTGGAATCAGGTTGGTGTAACTAGCTGGAGCTTGAGTTCCAGAAAAGAGGTAACAAGTGGATGAGACTCCATGAGGGGCAAAGTAGGATAGGACAGATCCTGGCTTCTCTCCTCCCCCTACCTCCAGCCTCCTGTGTGCCTTCCAATTATCTCTCATTACCTGAATCTACCAGAATGCAGATAAGGAATCTGGGAAGAAGAACCTGCAGGGGACATCCTCCGAAAGATAATGCCTAGCAGGGGAAGGGCATGTAGTAGATTGGAGGGCAGAAGTCCCAGGACTGGCATGCTACCTGAGCCCAAAAACCTTTTTTAGACTTAATAGTCAGCTTTTCTTCTAATTCTAATTTTGGTCATCTAATATTTTCCAGAAAATCATCTATTTCACTAAAGTTTTCACATTGTTAGCATAAAATATTACATTTTACCACTTAAAACATCTTCTATATTTATAATTAAATCCACTTTCTTATTCCTAATTTTGTATATTCTTGAGTTAAATATCTTTCTGCATTTGCAACTATTGCCTAGGGACAGGCAATGTCATTTAACATGTTCCTCTGACCCCAGTATGTCCTTTTAACTGATAAATAGGTCTAGAAGGCCATGCAATGTAGGATCACCTTGGCAGGAATCCTTCCAGGCAGTGGTGCGTACATCCATCAGGAGGCACATAAACATAAATGATTTTTTTTTTCGAATAAGCAGCTGTTGACCACTGACAGAATAGAGGTCACAAATGATTGTAAATTAATTTTATCATTCTTTCTTTGTTTACCAGCTGGAAGATTTCTATTAAGAAAAACAGTCCCTTTATCCCTATTTGGTCACTCTTGGTGATCTTTTGACTTTCACTTTTACCCTTTTTCTCTTTAATATTTCAGACTTTTTTTTTTTTTAGATTTATTTATCTTAAGAGCACAAGCAGGAAGGACAGAGGGAGAAGAAAAGTGAATCTCAAGCAGACTCTGCACTGAGATCATGACCTGAGCCAAAACCAAAACTCAGATGCTTAACTGACTGCACTACCCAGGGGCCCCCAGATTTCTGACTTCTTTAATTGGAATAGAGATCTTTAAAGTACAGACCTCACAATTTTCACCGAGACACCCCTATAACTTTTCATTTATCTTTTTTATATATAATAAAATATTCAAAAGTTCAAGAGGGCAGAGAATAGAAAGTAAGCCTTCCTCCTCTGCTCATTCCTCCCTTGAACTCATTCAGTTCCCTTCCCAGAGGCAGCCATTGTGACAAATTTCTTCTGATAGGTTCCAGAGACATAAAAATTGTATATATGTTCAAGTGACAAACCAAATGCAGTAAAAGGTTAGTGATAAGTGAATCTGTGTGAAGGGTACAAAGATGTTCCTTATACCATTTTTTAGAGCTTTTATTGTAAGTTTTAAAGTATAAGTAAAAAGGAATATGTATATTATATAACATATTAATTCTTTTTGTGGTGCCCCTCTCTTTTCTCATTAAACAATGTAATTGTAGGTCTGTTCACGTCAGTATATAGAGAGATGCCTCATTCTTTTTAAAGATTGCTATTGTTGCACTGTATGGAAATGTAGTGTATCATAATTTATTTAAATAACAGTATATAGATGGACATTTAGGTTTTTTTAAATCCACTGATACTGCCAAGTTGCCACAGTGAATGCCCTTTTATATTGTTGCTCATGTGTGTAAGCGTGCCTAGATAAATTCCTAGGGGTAGAATTGCCACATCAAAGAGTATTCAAGATTCTAATTTTAATAGTAATCACCAAAGTGTCCTCCCTAGGGGATATTCCAGCATATACTTCCCCTGCTTTTTTAAAAGTGCTCTCTTTCCCATACTCAGTAACACAGTGCAATATGGAACTCTATTTCTGATCTGATAGTTGAAAACATTGACTTTCTTTGTAGTTTTAACTTGCACAGCTCTTTTTGTTTAAAAGTTGCCCTATTTTTTCTTTTCTGTGGACTATCTGCTTATGGCCTTTACCATCTCTGTTGGGCTACTGTTTTTTTGTTTGTTTGTTTGGTTGGTTTTGTTTTTTTAGTTGATTTATAGGAGGTCTTTATGTGTTAAGAAAGTTAGCTTCTTGTCTATGATATCATAACATTTCTGAGCTGGAAATAATAACCTTAGAATAATCCAGTTCAGCACTATCATGTTACAAATTTTAAAGCTGACTTAAGGGTATTACATGACTTGTGAATCTGCAGCCCAGATTTTTGACTCCTAGTTTAGAAATGTTTACACTGTGCCATGCCAACCCTAAGACAGAAGGAACCAATACCCACCCTTTCAAAATGGGTAAGCATTGGTGTCTTGGGACTTTGTCCCTATCCCTGGCCCTATTATTCCTAACTAATCCTTTAGGGAACGATCTCTCACCACAACTTAGGATACATAGCAAATCACACTTCTGGATTCATCAGACTTGCCTTCATCAAAGGTCTTATTTGCCCTAAGCAAAATGACTTCTTGACTTTTCCTACAAATTCTCATACTTGAGCCAGTTACTCAATTTGGATTAGCATCTGTTAAATGAAGATCTCTGCATTGGGAAAGACAGTTGGATAAAAAAGAAATAGAAGATCCAATCCATGCCTTGGTGAACTATCCACTTGAGGGTACATAGCAAATACGTAATTGCTTGCTAATGCTCAAGGCATGCATATCAAGTGGCTGATTCAATGGATCTGTATCAATTAGAAAAGGAGTCCTGCAAGTTTTTACTTCAGATCTGGAAGGAAGTCATGTATGTAGATTTAAACAATATCAACTAACACATGTATCACTCTCTAGTCCTCAGAGACCATCACAGACATCATCTCTTTTCATCTAAATGATGGTACTTTCTTTCCCCTTTCATACATGAATAAACTATTGAATAAGAGAGAGACCCAAGCGGCTTATTCAGATAGCCTGGAAGGGCCCAGGGCTTCTCTCTCCTGGACTATGATCTGTGCACTACACAACACTGCTTCGGTTTGGCAGAGGAAGGGAAAGAAGCGGAGGGAGCAACTGAGGTGGTGGAATAAGTCACAGATTTGACTTCTTTTAAGAGGCCCTGTGGTATAGTGAGAAGACTATAATTTTGGAGTCAGACTAGATTTGAATCTGTCTTGCTTTTTACAAGTTGTGACCTAGGCAAGTTACTTATGCTCCAAGCCTCCATTTTATCAGCTGCAGAATGGAGTTAATACCTACTCTTTAAGGTTGCCTGACATACAGCAGGTATCTGATAAATGGTAGCTACTTTAGCTGGGAGTGGGCTAGAGTAAAAATGTAGGTAGGTTTCCCCCTGCATGTGTTGTTGATTGACTTGGTTGAAGCAAAGAGAGTGGGAAGCAAAAGACACACAAAAGTCCTAGGGAAAAGCACTGCAGTCATCCCTCAGACTTCTCAGGCTCTGGTCCTCTTAGGGAAATTTTTGTAAATGTAAGAAAGAACTAATTGAGAAGAGTTGAATTGCACCGTCCAGATGCAATTCTACTTGCATAACACATGAGTCAATGTGTATACAAGTACAATGTAGAGTGTTAAAGTGAGCTCTGGACTCCGTGGTGGAAGAGGGACTTGTCTTGGCCTTTGCCACTTTCCAGCTCTGCGTTCTTAAATGAATCCATTGACTTCCTTGCTCCAGGGACACCTGGGAAGCAGGGCTAGTCATCCCTCCATCACAGGATTTCCAAGGATCAAACTAGAAATCCAATTAACACCTATACAATACCTACTGTGATGGTTAATTTTATGTGTTAGCTTCGAGGGAGTTTTAGATGAGATTACATTTAAATTGGTGAGTTTTTGAGTAAGCAGATTACCCTCCACGATGTGGGTGGCTCTCATTCAGTTGAAGGCCTGCATAGAACAAAAAGGTCAGCCTCCCCCAGGAGGAGGGAATTCTCTAGCAGACTGCCTTCACACTTGATCTGCACCATTGGTTATCCTGGGTCGCCAGCCTGCCAACCCACACTGCAGATTTGGAGGCCCTCCCTCCATAATCATGTGAACTAATCTCATAAGTCTCTCTCTGTCACTGTCTCTCTGTTTCCTATTGGTTGGTTTCTCTGGAGAACCCTGACTAATATAACTACTATGGATCAGGCGTTGTTCTAGGGCCTGGTGTTACATTTTTAAAGGATACAGGGAACAAATATTCTTGAGGGACAAGACAAGGAAATATCAGGTAGTGATATGAATAAAATGCAAAACAGGGTGTTGAAAGAGATTGGATGGGGCTCCTTTGGCTTGGGTGAATCTGAGTGGAACATTATAGATAGGGGAGTGCAAAGGTTTTTAGGAATGAGCTCAGTATGCTTGTGCAGAGGGCAAATCTGTGTGCCTGGAAACAGAACAGTGAAATAAAGAGTGGTAGGAGATGAGGTAGGTAAGGTTGTGAGGTCATATCAGGTAGGCCTAGTAATCACATGGTAAAGGTTTTAGGTTTTGACTAAGTACAGTGGTTTATATTGTGATTTATACACACATACACACATACATACATACACACACATCTTAGGTG